AAAGAAGAAGAAGAAGAAGAAGAAGAAGAAGAAGAAGAAGAAGAAGAAGAAGAAGAAGAAGAAGAAGAAGAAGAAGAAGAAGAAGAAGAAGATCCTCATCATCATCATCATCAAAATCAACATCAATATATAATACACGGCGTTACTTTTCGCCTGATTCTGTTTCCTTTTGTTAGCGTGACTCAGCAGCCCGCCGGAGCTCCCCGGCTCGGGGTCACGGGGTTAATTAGCCCTGAAGCGATTTTGCCGGTGTTGGTTAAGAAGTTCGCATTTTTGTCTACGTTTGAAACGATATAACTTCTTCCCCTTTCCACACAGTAAACCATTACGTGGATGAACTAAGAGCTCAATGTCTTGCGATTTATTCAGCATTTGAATGGTTAATTTCTGTGTCTAGGTTTTTGTTCTAGACAAATGTTTGTAGAGTACCCAATTTGTCCTATTTTTGTTACATACATACTCATGAATAATTGATTGTTTTTTTAAAAACAGCACCACAGATCTCTCCAGGTTCTGTGTTAAACTGACTACAAATATCATGTCTTTTACCATGAGAAATCTTAAATCTGCGCAAGTAGTAATAGTCAAGTTATAAGAGAAGAAAGATGCACATCTGCATTTTTAAACTAAAGACACTCAGCGCTAGCTCTTTTGTTTTACCATTACACAGGACAAAGTTACTCTTTGTTCATGAATGATGCCGTGTCTGTGGCAGCCTGCATACAACTAAGAAAGATATATTATGTGATTTAAAAAACCCACCACAAAACTGTGTCAATACAAGGGTAGAGATGTACTTCTTGTAAGGAATAAAAGTAATGACAGCTAAAACATTTATTCGTAGTGTTTGTGTTGGACATCTGCGCGGACACTTAGGAATGCAAAGAAATCAGAACATTGTCAGTTGTTGCAAATGGTCATAGCAACGAAAATAAAAGCTGGAAAAGTCTGGTGCTCATTCAGTGTCACTGGAAAGCTAGAAATTATTCTTATAATACAAATAGAAGAAGTCATCATTGGTTGAGCCCATTTCAGAACCAAAGGCTGAGAGTCTCATAGAAATGACGAGAAAAATAACTTGGACCCGTTCGTTATTTAAACTTCAAACTTCCAAGTAAGTCGAATGCATCATTGCACTCTACTGTACCAGAGTGGCTGAAAGATTAAAATGGGTGCGGGTAGGGGATGGAGGGGTTTTTCTCTATCACAATACAGCAGTTTTTCGAGATTACTTCATTTCGATCGTTCATTTGAGCTTTAAGTGCTTTGAACTGATTATGCTGTAGGATTTTGAAGAATGGGTTTCTGCAAAATGAGAAAATTGCTCATTTCCGATTGGACTTAACGGGCGTGACTGAGCAATTTCTAACTAAAGTAGTCTCAGCTTACCACGACAGGCAATTAAACATTTTGCCATTCACATTGCATTGACATCAAGGGTATATATATA